ACTGCATCACTCCGTGATTTCCTCTCACAGGTGACCACCATATATATGAAACTGTGTTCAAACCCACCTCACTCACTCACTGATTGGTTGGTAAAGACATCCAATATACCATTCGCAAGGAACTTTACCCATGCTGTTTTTTCGGACGGTTGTATCAAGTCTCGGGCATACTCTTCCAGAGCACGAAGGACTTGCAAGTTTGGAGATCAACACAGTCAAGGGGGGCACAACTCTTTGAAGCCCGTTGACGCTGGTCGTGCAAGTTCCTAGTTTTGATCGTTACAACTGAGTGTATGGAATATTTAATGTAGGTCTTAAAACGATATTTCACAAACTGTGCTATATGGATAGCTATTGCGATATGGACGAAAATATTGATTTGCATTTGTTTGGTAATATAATTCTGAGCGCCATCAAAATACTCTTCTCGTTTCCCTTCATCAAACCGTGCAGGCAATGCCACAGAATTCTATCTGAACATCGGACGAACGAACAATGGTCGCAATAAAGAGTTATTTATGAAATTAATAAAAATAATTATACAATTGAACGTTTAAGTCTGTTCTGTTGAGAGCTGAAAAGAGATCGATTCGCGTTGCTAGATATGAGAAGGGAATGAAAGGTGAATGTATAGTTAGAAATGTGCTCTGGAATCTGTCACAGACTACCTGTACTTGTATCCTAATTTTCATGATATGAAATGTTCGATTAAATTATTTCATAAACAGTATAAAATATCTCTAAACAGGAATTGTGTGTGACCGAATGTTTTATCAGTCTCAGCTGCATGTCCGGATGAGTGTTCTCCATGTTTATGTTTATTAGTTTTCCTTTCTTTCTTCTTCGTCTGTTGTTGCTTTTCATTGTTTGTTTTTGTGTTGTGTTTTGGTTTGATACATATGATTCCAATATAGGTATATGCCCCGTGCGTGAAAGAATTTTCCCCAAACAAAAGCTTGTTGAGTTAAAGCTTGCTTACATGTATGTAGCATATGATTTATAAACGAGATACAAGCGTCGCCACATGGAGAGGTTTTCAGTTAAAAGAGATTCAAGCGTCGCCACTTGGAAAGGTTTTCAGGTAAAAGGGATTCAGGCGTCGCCACATGGAAAGGTTTTCAGGTAAAAGAGTTTCAGGCGTCGCCACTTAGAAAGGTTTTCATGTAAAAGAGATTCAGGCGTCGCCACTTGGAAAGGTTTTCAGGTAAAAGAGATTCAGGCGTCGCCACATGGAAAGGTTTTCAGGTAAAAGAGATTCAGGCGTGGCCACTTGGAAAAGATTTCAGGTAAAAGAGATTCAGGCGTCGCCACTTGGAGAGGTTTTCAGGTAAAAGAGATTCAGGCGTCGCCACATGGAGAGGTTTTCAGGTAAAAGAGTCTCAGGCGTCGCCACTTGGAAAGGTTTTCAGGTAAAAGAGATTCAAGCGTCGCCACATGGAGAGGTTTTCAGGTAAAAGAGATTCAGGCGTCGCCACATGGAGAGGTTTTCAGGTAAAAGAGTCTCAGGCGTCGCCACTTGGAAAAGTTTTCAGGTAAAAGAGATTCAGGCGTCGCCACTTGGAAAGGTTTTCAGGTAAAAGAGTTTCAAGCGTCGCCACTTGGAAAGGTTTTCAGGTAAAAGAGATTCAGGCGTCGCCACTTGGAAAGGTTTTCAGGTAAAAGAGATTCAGGCGTCGCCACTTGGAAAGGTTTTCAGGTAAAAGTGTTTCAAGCGTCGCCACTTTGAAAGGTTTTCAGGTAAAAGAGATTCAGGCGTCGCCACTTGGAAAGGTTTTCAGGTAAAAAGAGATTCAGGCGTCGCCACATGGAGAGGTTTTCAGGTAAAAGAGATTCAGGCGTCGCCACATGGAGAGGTTTTCAGGTAAAAGAGTCTCAGGCGTCGCCACTTGGAAAAGTTTTCAGGTAAAAGAGATTCAGGCGTCGCCACTTGGAAAGGTTTTCAGGTAAAAGAGTTTCAAGCGTCGCCACTTGGAAAGGTTTTCAGGTAAAAGAGATTCAGGCGTCGCCACTTGGAAAGGTTTTCAGGTAAAAGAGATTCAGGCGTCGCCACTTGGAAAGGTTTTCAGGTAAAAGAGATTCAGGCGTCGCCACTTTGAAAGGTTTTCAGGTAAAAAGAGATTCAGGCGTCGCCACTTGGAAAGGTTTTCAGGTAAAAGTGTTTCAAGCGTCGCCACTTTGAAAGGTTTTCAGGTAAAAGAGATTCAGGCGTCCCCACATGGAAAGGTTTTAAGTTAAAAGAGATTCAGGCGTCGCCACTTTAAGGTTTTCAGCTGAAAGCGATTCAGGCGTCGCCACTGACAACATGGTTACCATTTCACCCATCCGACAAGGGGGGTGATCCGACTGCATGTTGCTGCGAGTGAGGAAGTGAGTTGGGTTTTACGCCGCTTTTAGCAATAATATTCCAGCAATGTCACGGCGGGGTACACCAGAAATGGGCTTCACACATTACACCCATCTGGGGAATCGAACCCGGGTCTTCGGCGTGAGGAGCGAAGCACGATACTGTGAGTGAAAGGGACTCAGCGGTGTTGATCGTAACCCATGCTATCAGCCAGACCACTGCGGCGTAAAACAACACCCACTTACTGCTGACTAACGAGCTGGCATGGATGCTGATTTGGGGTAATAACATTGGATAGGGTGTCACGCAACCCTCCCATTACCAATTTGTAAAGATGGACATTTACGAACTGCTCAACACGAAGTTTTTGTGGATCAGCTTTCGCCGGCTGGAAACTAAATAACCCGACCTGAGTGAGATGTGTCTGGTCACGATACCACACACGTCTGTTACCTGTTTTAAAAATAATAACCACTCCATATTGTCTGCACACATCCGATACAGCATAGGACATAACCTCGTTCATAGAGAACGTAACGGTAATCCTTTCCATGGGACACCTTTTCCATGCGGATAAACGAGGTCCCGAACTCCTTATTCATATGACTGACTGACTGAGTTTGGTTTTACGCCGCTTTTAGCAATATTCCAGCAACATCACGGCGGGGGACACCAGAAATGGGCTTCACACATTGTACCCATGTGGGGATTCGAACCCGGGTCTTCGGCGTGACGAGCCAACGCTTTAACCACAAGGCTCCCCCACCGCCCCCTTATTCATATGAAGGGACATTGGGGAGCCTAGTGGTTAAAGTGTTCGAAGATCCAGGTTCGATTCCCTACATGGGTATATTATGTGAAGCACATTTCTGGTGTCCAGCGCCGTGATGTTGCTGAAATAATGCTAAAAGCGGTGTAAAATAAAACTCACTCACTTGATCATACGAGACAGCACTGAACCAAACGTGTTGTAAACATTTAAAAGAAGTCAAGTAAAGCGTATGGTATGTAAATAGATAAATGGAAATATATATGATGATGATATACACACACACACAAAATATACTTATATTGAAATACAAAAAACAAACTTGTAAACATACATTATAGAATGGTATATCTGATTACCGCTTACCGCTGTTAAAGGTGAGTATTATATATTTCAATGTATGTTTAAAAGATCATTTAAAAATCATCATTAATAACCTAATAAAAAATGGTGTGGGACGTTTCATGCGGGATTAAGTGATACTGCCCATCACATCTTCCTCTCATCTACGGGGCGGTGGGGTAGCCTAGTGGTTAAAGCGTTCGCTCGTCACGCCAAAGGCCCGGGTTTGATTCCCCACATGGGTACAATTTGTTAAGCCCATTTCTGGTGTCCCCCGCCGTGATATTGCTGGAATATTGCTAAAAACGGCGTAAAACCATACTCAGTCAGTCCTCTCATCTACATCCTTTACGGTTAAAAAGTTGTTTTTTGGCGTTTTTTTGTGATGCGCTGACAGAATCTAATTTCTCCGTAGGCATGACCGAATTATGTTCAACTTTTCATTCAAATTTTAAACACGATTTAACGTAATTGCAATTAGGTTCCCGGGTCAAGTAACGTAACTGACACATGAACCATTGCGTGATGTTTGTTTCTTGTTTAATGTAGCACTCAATATTCCTTTTATTTGGCTGGAAATAATTGATTCTGGAACAGACAATCCAGTGATTAACATCATGAGCATCGATCAACGCAATTGGTATACAATAACGTGTCAACGAAGTCAGCGAGCTTGACCACCCGATGTCATGAGTCGCCTGTTAAGACAAAAATGGGTTGCTGAAGATCAATTTTAACCCTGATCTTCACGGGACCATTGCGTGTTGGAGTGAAGCGAGGTCAAGTGGAATACCATGTTTACATTTTCACTTTTCTAGTGTTTGAACAGAAAAACTGTCCATTGATCTTCTTCACACTAATCCCCTAACAGTGGCAGGGCATTGGATTGAGCATGACAGTTAATATCCTTTTTGTATTTCATGAAGAGAAACATTGTGAACAAATAGAAGCTTAAATCCATAAAATATCTTGGTCAAATAGAGAATATGTGCATGAAGATGTTGTTGCTGTATAGGTCACGCAGTTTGGTGTGGATGTAGCTGCACATGATCGGACAATTATCACCACACGTGCGCATATGATAAAATATATATTTAAATAAAATATTTAATTCAATTATAATGATCATTATTTAGAACTCATCAATTAGAATATCATAAATTTACCTGTATCAATTTCAAATGTAAATGCAATCGCAGTTTTGAAGATAATCAAATATATTTCGAATGATGAATTCGAATTCTGTGTTTGCGTTGTACTCTCTCACCTATACAATGTATATTAATAACAAAGAATGTCATGCGTTTATCTATAAAAATATCTCTTTGTTGATCAACCATTCATAGTTGTTCTGCCGTAAGGTGAATCACTGAAAAGCGATGATTCACACTCGGGAGTCGTAACACATCATATCTTGGGCCATGATGTGCTCCATCCTGAGCAATAGGTCATGTACATATAAATTAACAAAATGAAATGTAAGAAAATCTTGAAACACAATATAAACAAATGAATTATTCATGTAAACGATCTCCTCTGCTGGTGAAAATCAATATCGGAAACTTCGCCTGTGTGGGGCGTATCACTCCGAGAATTCATCAAGTTGCAGTTGTGTGCAGATGTCCTGTGTACGAACATTCTGTTAAAATACCTCGGTCGTTATGAGAAGACTTTGTCATTTCGATTTTGTTGTATCTGGTCCTTACGAAACGATTACAATGACTGGTCCCAATGAGTCCGTACACATCAGGTGTCAGTTCTGAATCATCTCCGGCGACTGAGCGAGCACTTGTTCAGTGACGTGCCATTGTATCGACGGTCATAGGTCAAACTCGTGAAAAGGTGAAGGCCGTCGTAGCAGACAGAATGAGGGTTCCGAAAATGGCGGAGCTACAATTTGAAGCTCCTCTTGCATCGATTGAAACAGAAGATTGGAATGAATTCAACGAGTTTCAAACAGCTAAGACGACAGAAGATGAAAATTGTAACGAAGACACATTAGGCAAGGACCTTCCGAAGGAAAGTAACGATAATAGTGTGGCCGAGAATTTCGGTGAAACATTTTCTGGTTCTCTTGAGGATTTAGTGAACTCATTTGACGAAAAAATATCCAAGTGCTTTTGCAATTTTGAAGAACAGGTGGACAAATTTGCTCCTGTACAGATCAGGACGCAAGAGGAAATTGTGAATGACTGCCAGTGAGTATTCGAAAAGTGATTTCCCGACTGTGTAAGCAGTCTGTGTGAATATGTGGATGACATTATGTCAACAGCCCGTGGATACTAGCTTCCTGATACTACAGAATGGTTCGTCTGCTACGGAGCGAGACCATCAGGGCTGTTCGATGTTTATCTGTTGTCCATGTCACCAAGTCCTTTGTATTTGTGGTATATTATGTACACATGCAATCACTAATCAGTCTAATTGAAGCTAATCAACAGGTTTTGTTTCAATACACACAGGTCATGAATCCACAAGTTGTAGATAATGACAAAACTTTATGGATGAATAATAGGGATATGCTGAACTCATGTAATTTTGGTTGATGTGATCAGCACACAATTATGATTCATCCTTGTGAACCATAATAATACAGATATTCTAAGTAAGATTTTTCAAAATATTTTGGATGAAGTCTAAACAAATACAACAGCAAGATGTTATGCATCACTTCTAACACCAAATGAAATGAACTTGAAGTGGTAGTTGATTATTAGATTGTATGTTGAGAGGATGAAAACAAAATATTTTGTAATATCATCATCACCTCGATGCATGGTTATCATGATAATTTAGTTGCAATAATGATATGTGGTAATTACATTTAACATACAGAAGTTGTATCCAGATACAGAATTGTGAATAATCAGGTGGCTATTCTTTTTGTGAATGATCGTTTCCTTGGAACATTTTGTTAGCAGGTTTAATATGACAGCCATCATGGTAATATTTGCCTAAAGTCTGATCCAGTTTTTATTTTTGTTAACTATATAATTTTAATGATAGTCATAATTCTTACTAAGAACTTTTCGTAAATGTTTATGTAAATGTGTGAAAAACAATTAAACATTTCAGCATGCTCTGTGCATAAACTGGTGAACAACTATTGTTGCCAGTAATGTTGAATTTGATCCCTAATTCACCATCCTCTGTACACCTGGTTTATTATCTATAACGATTCTACTTTGACAATGAGATTCAGACTTCATTGTGTTGGAAAGGGAGTGTACAGGTTCATTGTACAGCTAACAGCTGTTGTTCGCGCTGAAATACATATATAGGTTAATGTAAATTCAGAACATTGATGCCAGTGAGTAATCAGTTGAAGTTATCAGCTGAAACAGATTCCGGCAGCTGCAAAACACAAAATAAAATTATTATGAACGGATAAGTCAGCCATGATACCAAGTGTTCAAGGTAAGGTGTTAGTGATATGTCATGCTCTACCAGTGCTGTCAGTCACTCACACTATTAGCAAAGAGAAATAAAGGAATTCCCCTTATTCTACTGCTGGTCTCTGAATGCAGTGTCATTTCTTATTGGGGTTTACATCACAGGACACAGGAACCAAACACGTGTTAAAATTCACTAAACCTCGAAATTGATGTGGAAAATGTCAATGTCTCCCGCAGCACAAATCTTCCTCCTTTGACTGTGAGTGATAATCTGTTGATGTTGTATAATTATCCCATACAACATTTGTAATTAAGGTGGGTCCTGGGCCCTTCTTGTGGTATTGAATCCAGAAATCCCCCAAATCTATAAATTTGAACATCAGAGTTTTAACAACCTTGAGAACTGTTACATTTATTTGGAATTGTTACCTAAGCATGATAAAGGGATGCAACCTTTGCAAAGTATATTAGGTGAGCTGAGGTGAGGTGAAATTGGGTTTATGGTCGTGCTTGAGAATATTTCGCTCATATGACGACGTGCATGCGTGTGTATGTGTATGTGCGGCTGCTTGTACTAGCCCAGACTTAAGCTGGTTTTATAGTGCTAGCCCACTGAGATACCATGCCGCAGTGAAGCATGAATACCCCACTCAGACACATTATACTGACTCTGAGCCGACCAGTCCTTGTTGTACCCCTTAATGCCGAGCGCCAGTCAGGGACCAACAGGTATCACATTTTAACGTCTTTTGGTATGACGCAGTCGGGGATCGAACCCGCGACCTTCCTCTCTCTGGGCGGACGCTGTAACCACTATACCACGGAGGCGGTTGCAAAGTATATTAGAATGACAAGGGGTGAAACAATGTTTCATTGCACCGGTGCATCATGAGTTCTCATGCACCCATATGACACACAATACATATTTTTCTGTCACTTAAGTGTGGTTTTGATGAGCTCTCAGCCAATCAGAATCAAATATCACACAATGTCGTGCTAGAATTTGTATTTCAAGTTACAGTAGAAAAAGAAAGGTGTATAGAGCTAGCTTGTCCTTTTGAACCTGCTCTGAAATACCTGTATTCAAGGAGTTTCAATATGAATGAGGTAAATATGTGTATTGCTTTCTGTATTATATCATGGTATGAAATATGTTAAATATAGTGATCCTACAGATGGGTGAATTTTCTCTATCTTGGTGCCAGCTCTAGTAATGCCAATGGGGGCGGTGGGGTAGCCTAGTGGTTAAAGCGTTGGCTCGTCACGCCGAAGACCCGGGTTCGAATCCCCACATGGGTACAATGAGTGAAGCCCATTTCTGATGTTCCCCGCCGTGATGTTGCTGGAATATTGCTAAAAGCGGCGTAAAACCAAACTCATTCAGTCAGTCAGTAATGCCAATGCCTATTGATCATGATGTCAAATACATATTATAATAAAAAGAATATTCCCTTATCTTTCAGTTAAATGTATAAAATGTATTGTCAGTACATGAGCTTGATGAATGATATGAAGCTTAAATATATTTACCAGTCAAGTCCAGTTTTGAGAACTATGGTGTAGCGATGTAACTGTTTAACTCAGTATTTTGATTCTGGAGTGGCATCAAAGAATAAATTGCTGACATATGTTGACCTTTCCCTTGGCAAGTTGAAATCTCATAAGCAAATGTTTTGCCAAGCATTGTAATGCATCTTCATGCAAATAATAGGGTTTTTAAGAAGAACTTAATCAAGAAATCACTGGGTTTTTTGCAGCTGATCAGTTTTTAGATACTCCCACACAACTATTCAACAATAGAACTAAAATCTTCCCTATTGATTGCTAAACTGGAGAAATTGCTATTGCTCTGCTATAAAAATAAGTGGGTGTTGGGGTGGCTCAGTCGTAGGAGGCTCCAAAATTAGTTATGCAGAGACGAATTACTTGGGCATATGTGAAATCTATGAATCTAAGTATGATTGTGGGTTTGAATCCCAGTTTGTTCTGATTACGTTTCTACGTTTGTCAGCACCATACCTGTACCTGTGGATGTTGTGGTAAATGCCTGAAACCTGTTCAATCCCTATCATTTCAGTCTGGGAAAATACATCAGCACCTTTGTGCTAGGATATATGCATCAGGTATTGTACCCTGTGCTGTCTCCATTATTTTATATCCTCATAGGGGCAGTGGGGTAGCCTAGTGGTTAAAGCGTTCGCTCGTCATGCCAAAGACCTGGGTTCAATTCCCCACATGGGTACAATATGTGAAGCCCATTTCTGGTGTCCCCTGCTGTAATATTGCTGGAATGTTGCTCAAAGTGGCATAAAATCATATTCACTCACTCATATCCTGATACAAATGTATCCAGACTCATGTACGGGGACATATATCTTTTCACTACACATCAGATTCAGGAGAGAATAGTTTGACAATATTTCATATCAACAGGGAAATTGGATACAGGATTCATTGTGGGTTTACTCCACGCATAGCTATGTAACCATGGTAACCTGAACCTCGTAAATGCCACAAAATATTCAAAATACTGGCATTGTGGCAGTTTTTCTAATCCTGCACTGGACTGGAAAATACGTATTTTATAAAACCAAAAAACAATCAAGATTTTTAAAAAGCAAATCTAGCCATCTAATCAGCTTCTGGAAATATAATTTTCTGAGAGAGAAAAAATATATGTTGTGAAATATAAGATTCCATAGACTGTATGTTTGCCTACAGATTTCCTTGAGTCATCATTCTTTGGCCCAGCACCACATACTTTGCAGTTCATGGAGCTGGTTGGTTTTCATTGACTGGGTGATAGTTTTCTAGGTCATTGTGCAATGAACGACCTGTCAGAGTGGCCTACATTCCAGGCTTGCATTCCAATAGCTCTGCGGAACTACTCTGGAGAATTGTGGTCATTCCATTTTCACCAGGAATTATGCATAATTTTCTAGCCTGCATACATACACTCAGTGGTTAGGTTCTAGTAGACTAGTGAAGGTAGGTTGTAGGCTTGTTTGTGGTTGTAGCAGTGGTTAGATTACCCTTAGCTGGTTGACCCAATGTCAATGTTCTGTTGACTGAACTTGTTATATGGAAATAAATCTATTCCAGTCCCTTGGGTGTCTCTGTAGAAAGTACCAGTTGTCAAGATGGATATATATTAGTCATGACAAATGTGACTCATGGAAAATAATATTATGAGTGAGCTGTGAGAATACTTCAAATACAGATTCCTTACTGCAATTTGGTCTCTGAAATGGAAATATTTTAGTGTTAATTTGTATATCAATAAACTGCAGAAATGATCCCAAATGAGACTTTAGTAGTCTTGTTTTATATTATTTGTTATGTCATTTTTGTAATTATTCTTTTGTGGTCAGTATGAGAGAAGATAAAACCATATTCCCTGGAGGTCCAGGGTTACCAAGGAAACCATGGTAACATTGGAAGCGTTTTCGTCATCATTGTCTGAGAGATAGTGACCATGAAGGTGATAAGTAGTGTCCTGGGACCATAATGTAATAAATATTATTGTAATGTGTCCAGTTCACAGAGTTCATTCTTGCTGTCACTAGTTGTAAAGGTTTATTGCAATATCTGCATTCTGGTTTTCCTGAGATTCATTCCAAAGGATATGTAAGAGGCAGGGCTCCAGATAATTTTTCATATAGGAGTATTGGAAAAACTAATTAATACATTTAGAGTACTGAATGGAATTTTATCAGTAATCTTGTGTTTCATTTCATATGTGCACCACAACATTGCTACTCTTGTGTAAACAGGTCAATAAACAATAAAAGTTAAAACAATAC